TATACAATACACCTGTCAACTCGAGCGGAGCCAGGACGGGTCGCTAACTAAAGCCCTTTGTTAAAGTATTGACTGATTTAAAAATGCTGCCCAGTTTTAACTTTGACCTGCTTTTGTTTGTTTAAATTAGCCGAGATTTCAGCTCACAGGACGTACTCGTAGTGTCAATATTGCAAGGTAATATTAGCTCTAGATTTAAAATAACAGTGGAGGAAGTGGGATTACTCCGGTACAAGTAAATTTTGATACTGATGGCTGATTTTTCAATCGCCAAATAACTTTTGACCGATCAAGTGAAATCGGCAGTGGGATACGGCGTTAATTATGTGACTGCACCAGACAGTCTGCCAACAGAGAGACATGGCGGGAGATCGTGCGGAAAGTTGTACCCGCCTCTACAACCGATGTGAACAACGCCTCGACGTGACCACGACCACTCTGCCAAAAGCGAAACGAATTTATGAAGAAGAAGAAGAAAGAACTTTTAACTGAAGTATACGTTTGGCACAACAGTTTCAGTATGGGAAATATGTCATAATGACATGTTTATACTTCAGATATAGTTCCAAAATACTGAACTGTCCTATCCATGACATTGACAGCGGGGCGCCACCGTCAATACCGGATCGCTGGTTCCGATTTTTGTCATGTTGGAAACCATATAGTTGAACGATGGTAGCGCCCCCCTGTCATTGAGTTTGGTGGGACAGTTCAGCTTGGGTCATCTATAAAAGATATCTGACGATTAAAAAATCAACCCTAAGATTCATTAATAGTCTCCACTGCAGGAGCACGTCGTACTCTAATTTACCAGAGGCAAATGAGGAGATCCGTAAACGAACTAAAGTCGCTGACATAGCCCGACGGATTAGCAAGCTGAAGTGGCAATAGGCAGGGCACGTAGTACCAAGAACCGACGGCCGATGGGGCAGCAAGGTTTTGGAGTGGAGGCCGCGTACCGGAAAACGCAGCGTGAGACGTCCACCCACAAGGTGGACCGACGACATCATAAAGGTGGAAGGCGCTGGCTGCAGGCCGCTACCAACCGGGCAGCATGGAAAGCATTGCGGGTGGTCTATGTTCAGCAGTGGACGTCCTATGGCTGAGATGATGATGATGATGATGATGATGATGATGATGAAATGAAGGATTTGACCTACACTCCCCATGCTGGCTGAGACTTGCATCTTTTAGTATCGACATAAAAATCTTCATTGAGAATTTAATTCTGAAGAAGTGAATAATTTTGTCTGCTCTCACACATGCTTAATCCCTTTGCAGTAAATGCTACTTTGACTTTAACTTAATTACGAGTAGGTAGTATCTTCTTCAAATTAACTACTTATTGTAGGCATATACAGTAGGTTTGAAAGTTTGTAAACTTCTTAAATTATTAAGTCAAATGAAATGATATTGAACAACGGTAGATAAAGGTTTTAGTAGTATTCAAACATTTAGAACAAACCTCTATAACAGGGGTGGCCAACTTGATTAGATATGAAATCTACTGTTTACTAACGAAACCCTGGGCGATCTATCACTTACATACTTCTTGAATTCTTAAACGAAACGGCATAGTTTAGTACACAATCATGTAGTATTTTTTGCCTTGCCGCGATCGACTTTACTAATATTCGCGATCGACCGGTTGGCCACCCCTTCTCTATAATATGAGAGTTATAAGAGTTGTTTAGAAGAAATCGATAATATCGTCTAAATTGTGCTGTTTGTTTACAATAAAAGGAGTGAAATAAAAAAAGTATCTTGATAACTTAATTATCATTTGCTATGTCAACTGTTACGTGGTATAAAATTGTGCTTTTCAATGAGCCTACTAAAATGAACCTATGTTGTGAGCTCCTGAATAATTATATTATTGATCCGGATCCGTACAGCAAAAACAGCAGATGTCACATCGCCACTTAGCTCTGAAGTGCATCTATATCGGTCTAAACGAATTACCAGCGTCTCGCAATCCTTTGAGAAAAAAGCACGCTGCATATCGCATAACGTTGAGAATTCAACCTTGCCAGTATTGGAATAGCGGTGCATTTGAACGGGTGTGTCTGTGTACAAATCATTGCACAGTAGGGATGGGACAGTGTCTAAGACATGATTATAATTTTGCTATGGACTTAATTTCATGTCACGTAATTTTTATTATTGGAATTACTCTTATAAGTATTTTTTTTAAATCCACACCGAGGAAAGTCAGCAAAATCCAAAGCTGAAGGTGGAAACGAACTTCGTTTTGAATGAATTGAATGAAGTTCGTTCGAACTGGCTATCATACCTCTAACAGCCGGAACATCAACGAAAGTGTTGCTTATATTTCTAGGCCTGTAAAGTCTTTTCAGACTATTATTTTTTCGCCACTGAAAAGTCATTTTCAGAATCCTGCAATAAGACCAATACTCGTTACAAATACTTAATGAAAGTTTGAAGAAGTTCCTTTTTTAAGTTTGAAAAATGTTTTGTAAATTAGTGATTTCAGTGGGCATTTAATATTTTACCAGAAGCGAGCAGCATATTTACAGCAGCAATGTATTATGTTGTATGTTTTTTCAAGCGATCCGTAGGGACTTCACGTGAATGGTGATTTAATATTTTAACTCCTTCGGGATAGACTCCACAAACATTGTGTGTCAAAAATCCACCCGCGGCTTAAGAGAGATGCCACACGGGCGTTTGGTCTCTTAGACTATGAGTTATTTTTCAATCACTAAGGGCTGATTTTTCCACCGTCGGATATCTTTTAACAAAAGAATAAAATTGTCATTTGGACATATTTCCCATACTGAAGCTGTCAATGTGCAAACTTATTCTTCAGTTAAAAGTTAACCAGCGATTGAAAATCAGCCCTTTATGTCGTTAAAAATATCATAATTCAAAACTTAACGCTTTTGGATAAAAGTTTCGTGTTTCGGACTATTAAATACCGGACTGTATGCAAATTTTTCAGGTCACATTATCGATAAGTTTCCCAACCCTACTCAGAAACAGGGCAGCATTTTATGGGCGAATGCAAACATTATCGCATGAGTGATGGTGACACAGCTCCAGATTATTGCCGTGTTCCTACTTTTTGCTGTTTATTACGAAGGATCCGAGATCGCCAGTGTGCGGTTTTTAAAATGAACTATGTTTCGTTTTTATTGCTTTTTGGTATCTTGACATACTTGTTCAATTTATTTTTCGAAGTTTGCATTTACGTTCTTTTGTTTCTTTTAGATGTTTCTTCATCACAAGGTGGATAGATTAAAGGTTGCAGGAATGCGCTAGGGTGCAGGCCGCTACCATCTGGCCATTCAGGATATCATTGAGGGATGCCTATGTTCAGCAGTGGATTTCCTGTGGCTGAAATGATGATGATGATGATGATGATGATGATGATGATGATGATGATGATCATGAACTTCTAAATGTACATGCACAGTCAATCAAACAGAGATAAGAATATAATACATCGTAGCGTCTGTTTTTCTAACTCTAATACTTCTGGGGGGCTTACATCTTTTTCATGACATAGGTATTTTCTGAAAAATGTATTACGTTATCGACTTATCTAGTGTTCATTTAAGTAACTTAACAAAATATTCATAATTTATGGCTAATGAACCAACATTAATGAAAAATAGATCTACAGTCTAAAATTTCGAAAGAGATATTACTATACAAGTTTCTTAATCACTTTGTAATTTTCTTTTTAATTAATCGATTATTTAGAAATTTGTTATAAAAGTCTTGTCCTTTTAGTTTATAAATTACATTTTAGTGTTTTACAATTTATCATAAGGGTTCGAAGCCTAAGCCATAGTCTAATGCCCGTTTTCACCATCAATCCTTAATTTTTAAGTGACCCCTATAAAATTTAATTTCTGATAAATGTTACCATAGGGGTCACTTAAAAATTAGGGACTGATGGTGAAAACGGGGATAAAGCTTTTTAAAACTTTTTAAAATGATGAGTATGTGACTTTATATTTTAAACCTGTGTGTTAAGTCTGAGGTTAAATTATCTATTATTTAATGTACTAAAACACCCCTTTGATATGAAAATTTATAATATGTAAAAAAATAATCCAGGTTAACCTTAATTTTAATATTATTAAAATCTAAATAGAGAATTGCGATTCGGGCGGGCCTAAAGATCTTTGCTTTATTTTAATTGTAATGGAACGCGAAAGCTTAAAATCTTTATTTACTAATTCAAATGGTCCAGACGTTCTCTACTTTTGCAATACTTTAAGAATTCTTATTTTTATGTATAAACTAGCTTTCCGCCCGCGGCTTCGCCCGCGTGGAGTTTTGTCTGTCGCAAAAAATCTATATCGCGCGCGTCCCTGTTACAAAAACCGGGATAAAAACTATCCTATGTCCTTTCCCAGGACTCAAACTATCTCTATGCCAAATTTCAGTCAAATCGGTTCAGTGGTTTAGGCGTGAAAGCAAGACAGACAGACAGACAAAGTTACTTACGCATTTATAATATTAAAGTATAGATGGAAATTGGTATAAATAACTCCAGTATTATCTTCCTATTTACAAATGTTATCTGTTCCATTGTCCCATTACACCCAAACAGAATCGTTTGTGTTTCGAAGCCAACATGACGCCATGGAAGAACAAATGACTGGCTCGTTCATTGTCTAATTTGTAAAGGGTAAACAGCCAGCCCAAGATATGAACATAAATTATAACCTCAATTTTACCGCTCACATTTTTCCGGCACCTTATTTTTGGGGTAAATCACAGGAGGTTGGCGGGTCGGTAAGAAAGAAATATATTGTCGTTAGCGGGTCGGTAAGAAAGAAAGAAACATTTATTACGATGATGAACATCACTTAGTTAGGGGCAAAGAAGGTAGATAAAAAGCAGAAATAGCACATAAATATTTCAAGAAAATAAATAGTGAACTGAGCAGTGCTACCTTGTCGCAAAATAAATATAAGCTGGTGCTGAGCATTTAAAATTTTAATTTATTAATTATTTTGTTGCAGGTAAACATGCCCACGGTTCACCAGACGGTAAGTTTAAATAAATATCCTTGTACATTTTAAACTGCGCCATCTAGCCAAAGTTAGTTTAAGTTAGTTTTTCAGTCATTGTCCGGCGACAACGGATATAAATATTTGTAAGATAATTAGATGTTAAGTATCTCTTCATCAGCCAGATAGTTTTGACTGTTCCAGTCCCTTGCCAGACAAGTATTTTAGGGTAGCCAGGTAACCCAAACTTCATGATAGTTCAACGTTTTTACCTATGTTGGGAGCATGCGCTGACAAACTTTCAGCGTTAATAAAAAACGCAGGCCTAGCGTTCAGTGGCTCTTTAGGCCCTTTCCATGGCACTTGTAGACGTTCTAAATATAGCTTGCTACCACCACTTCGGGACAATGTACGGGCTAGTGCTGCAAAGAAGTGGCGGAAGAAACTCAGTCACCTTTGTCAGCCTCTTTTTCAAGTAGTACTCGTAGATATACTAGTACTAGTTGTCAGGCCTCCTACTAGGTGGACCGACGATCTGGTATAAAGATCGAAGAAAGCGCGAGGAGCCTGGATGCAGACAGCCTGGATCGTTCATTGTGGTAAACTTTGGGGAGGCCTTTGTCCAGCAGTGGACGTCATTTGGCTGAAACTCGTAGATAAATAGTAGTGTAGTGGCTGAGTTTCTTGCGCTGGTTCTTCTCAGCACTGGCCCATATATTGTCCCAAAGCAGTGGTAGGGTTAATACTGGGACATGAAAAAGTGCTTTTTAAAAGCCTACTTGCATAAATAAATGAGATTTTTGAGTTTTATGATACATATAATGTGTATGTTCTGAATTCTGATACACATATTCTCTTGATTCTCTTCTCACTTGCACCACAACCACGTAGTAAATATTTGGCACAACCCCCGCTGTTTTATCATCCCGCCAGTGATACGACCTTCATTTCCATACTCAAGTGGTTTGCAGTTTAATCTGCGTGCGCGACGGTGCCCCGACGCCGCAATGATTTTATTAGGGATGTCACCATCTACCGTGAATTCCCTGAAGTCAACTTCGGGGGTGTTTTCCTACCATTAACTGGACTGGGGATTTTTATTCGCAGGTTTTATATTATAGCCTATGTTATTCTTATGTATCAACAATAATAATATTGTAAAGTCTCATCAAAATCCGTTTAGTAGGTACATTTGCGTGAAAGAGTAACAAACATTCATCCATCAATCCTCACAAACTTTCTCATTCATAATTTTTATTACAAGTGGGAAGGATTTATAATAATAGTACACTAAAAAAAATTTTTGGTTACTGCTTACACAACAAAAGTGACCACCGAACACTTTGATTATGAGGAACAAAATGTTATGTCAATTAAACAAATAATTATGTAGTGAGTTAGGCTGGGTTGCACCATATATCTTACTTTAACTTTGATAAACGTCAAAAATCTGTCAAAATCCATACAAAAAGCACCGGTTATCGTCAAAGTTACGGTAAAAGTTGGGTGGTGCAACCCAGCCTTAGACTCGGTTTGGTTATAGTTAACACTTAGTTCGCCAGTCACTTTGTTCGTATAAGCTGTAACCAAACATCTTTTTCAGTGTAGGATATGAGGTAGAACAGTGGACAGACGACCTCCTAAAGGTAGCAGGAAGGTACTGGATTCAGGCCGCTACCAACCGGTCAATCTGTAAATCATTGGGAGAGGCCTATGTTCAGCAGTGGACGTCCTGTGGCTGAAATTATGAAGCAGGATAGTCTTGCTAATCTTACTTATATTATAAATGCAAAAGTTTGTATGGATGTCAACATGTTTGTTACTCTTTCACGCATAAACTACTGAACGGATTTTGATGAAACTTTACAGTATTATTCTTTATAACCTGGAATAACATATAGGCTACAATTTATGACGATATGTGACAAACTAAATTTCACGCGGGTGAACCCACGGGCATAAGCTAGTTTATTATAAAGGTAGATTTATTTTCTCCTCGTCACATCACTATGGACAAAAGCGATGATTTTATCGTGCATTTGGTCACTTCAAGCCAAAGGGTGCTTTAATATGCGCAGGTTATCTGCATACTGATAAATAGGCTGGGGAGGGTTGTATTTTGTATACACTTTTGATATAAAGGCAAGTTTTCAGTTAATTTCAGGCACTGTCATAGATATTTCGGACGGTCTAAGAACAACATGAATTTTGAACTAGCTTTTACCTAAAATTTAAGTCTGTCACAGTTTTTATCGCGATAAAAACTGTCAAAAATAACGTCTCTACAATTTTTGATTTCCGGAAATTTGGTCTAAATCGATTTAGTGGTTTGAGCATAAAAAGGTTAAATTATTAACAAGGTAACGTAGTTTGTTTGAGGAGAATGAACAGTTCCATTTCAATATAAAGTCACGTTCGATATACAACCTCATCTTGTTACACTCAAAGTTCAAAATAATAATACGCGAAATTTTCAGGATCAAAGAACAACGACGCTTGATCGGCATTTGTTAATTTTAGATTCACCTAACGTGATTGGTGTATAAATCATAAGTGACCTTATTAATACGTCATAAGGTCACATTTGGCTTCTCGGGATTAGATTTTGAGTTGATTAGCATTAAATTATAATGAGATTTAACTTGAATCATTAGCGCGAGTATATCGTCTTTTATTCAATTAATTTCGTAATTCAATTTTGGTTCGGTCATGTTGGGGGCTTGAAGTTATTATGGGATAAAGGTCGACATATACAATCTGTTGGTAGGTATATTAAATGATTAGATGTCTTAGAATTGCTACTTGATGATTATGAATTTTAAGAGTTACAGTTAATAGAGTCCTATGAAGGGAATTCCTAAATAGGATACCCAAAGTTTATTTCTATGGCGTTTCATGTAAATCTTGAAACTGCTGTCTTGAAATATCTTCACCTTAATTTTAACAAAGTCCTTATAATTATAGCAGAACATTATTTTTTCTTTGTAAATGCTGTAAATCATGATCAGTTCAAAATTTGTTGCTTAATAAATAACAAACATCAGTTCTTCCATTTTCACAATCTTTTTACGAATTTATCTAATGGTAAATAGTAGCATGCGGCTTTGCCCTCTTAGACTTCTGTTTCATCTAGAGGTTTTTATATAAAAATATCATACGATTTTCCAACGTTGGTTGTGGGTCGTAAAATATTTTCTAGAAACCAACAATCACGAAACATTCAAAAATAACTCATGCGAAACAATAAGTGATGCTCAACCACACAATAAGTTTCAATTCACTTGTATTTTAATACTTGCAGAAGATTTAATAGTATACGAATTCATTCATGCCCTGGGTCACTCCACAATCCGTTCTTTGACCAACATCGTTCGTTCAACAATGGGAAAATAAAATCTCATTTTTATATCATATTGCCGCTAGCGTCGGGCGGGATTTCAATAGTTTGTTCCCGTTTTTGCCCGTTCCCGTGGGCATTTAGAAAAATCTTCCTGGAATACACTCTAAATAAGACAAGTATAGAAAAATGAGTGCCATTTTGTATGGATGTTAAGTTGATTTGCTATGACTAGTTCTTTTATTTTGTAGAACTACGTAAGGTTATTAATTAATATGGCATTCGATGTTTTTATTGAATCCATACTGTTAATTGTGAAAAATCTAAAACGTTAAATAGCTGTATCGTTATATCCAATGAGCTGCTGTCATTGTGACATCGACGTAATGTCAATGTCACACGAGAATCAAACGTCAGAATAGAGGGACGCGCGGGGACGACTCCCCGCTCTTTTGTGTAAGGTGATGAATTATATTTAAATTAAAGCAATATAATGTGAAAGTTGAGTATTCAGTGTTTATTTATGAGAATAGATCTACCGGCCACTAATAATACTTATCTATAATTATACCCAACAAGCTCAAGTGGTAACGAATCGTCCATATTTGTCGGAAAACCGACTAAATGTGACCTGAAAGAGTACTCAAATGCAGATCATAATCTTAACAAACGTAGCGCAGGATGTCCACCTGCTCGATGAACTGACGATGCTCAGAAGAAGCTGGCAGCGGCTGGATTAAAAACACGAGAGATCGTGTTTTGTTTAGTGCCTTGGTCCTGGAGGCTAAGCCCAGCAGTGGACTACCATTACCTGAAATGATGATGAATGAACCTAAACATTGCGAAAGTAACTCTATCTAAATATATATAACTCAAAGGTGACTGACTGACTGGAGGTAGATGTTATGACGTAGGCATCAGCTAAGAAAGGATTTTACGAAACTCCCCCTTGGGTAAAACGGGATTCACGCGTACGAAGTCGCGGGCGGCCGCTAGTCTGTAGATATGACTGTATTTGTGTTTCTAACTTAAACCATAGAATCAATATTTGCACATTTTGAAAAAGAGACATGAGTCCTGCATTGGATCTTGGAAAAGGCCAATTTTATTTTATCGCAAAAGGAAAAGTAAAACGCAGTGAAATATGTGACATTAATTTTTACGGGAACCCATGTTCCAGTCAGGAATAGAGAAATGCTTTTGATCCTTTTGATCGTGGAATAAAGCGGGTGAAGCCGCGGGCCACAACTAATTCTTCAAAACATATACAAAATGTAAAATTTTCAAATACACTTGCGAGCGAAAATATGGAGTTACCCTAGTTGTTCCGATCGATCATAAGAAGATAAATAAAAATCGTACCATTTTAAAGGTAATATTGTGTACTTTAAATTAATACCATAGATACATACATAGACATACTTATTTTATTGTTGTCTGACAAATTGTATGCTCTTTGAGCGGAACATAGTGATACTACCTAATGTAACATGTCACCATTTTACCTATGATTCACAATAAATGATTTTGTATTTGTATTTGTATTTGACATTCAGCTCTTAAGATCACTCGGAACAAAACACAAAAAGGTGATTCCATACTTTTGCTCGTAATTATAGTTCATTCGTACTTTCATTCATTACTTACTTTTAAGGATTTGCCACACTGAATGCGTTCTACGGTCTGCGGTCAGGTCAAAGTG